AATTATCGATCAATGTTAAATATATCAACGGCATTAGAAATGTTATTTAATGCAATCTAGTTCAATTGTAGGTTGACTATTCGTCAACCTACATATATATTTTACCTATATTAAAGTTTTCTGTTTTATTAATATAACATTAATTAACTCAATTTAACATTAAAAATAAAAAACTTTTTTAGTAATTTCTTTTGAGACGAAAGAGTAAAACTCTTTAATGAAATTTAGGAGAGTAACAAGAATAAAGAGACGATTTAATTATTATACAGATGAACCATATCTAACTGACAACACTTATAACTTTTGATCTAGTAATCATTTCACCAGTTTGGATGCAAGAAGTTTATGCGTGAATATGTAATTTTCAAGGAAAGCAAATTTAAATGTATTCGAATATTTTTCAGCTAATTATTCGAATTGGAAGTACAAAGAATCAAACAATTTTTGTTTAAATTACAAGTTATATTTTATTACCAGTTAATTAATAAGGAGCTTAACAATAAAATAGCATTGATAAAAGTAAACTTATATAGTTCTTGAAAGAGAACCTTTTAAAAAAGCTAAAAATAAGATATAAGCTAGAACCTTTTTGCGAAAGAATAAAAAAAAAAGTACTTCGACAAAAAGAATTTTTTGTTCCAAATAAAATAGTTTTGACTTAGATAAAACTTTTTTGGTATAAAATTGATATACAGTTCCATCTAAATTTGTCCATAGTTTAATAGAACTTATTTACATTGAATAATTTCTTTCNATTTTTCCATAGTTTAATAGAACTTATTTACATTGAATAACTTCTTTGAGTGGCACAGCTAGGATCATATAATGGGAGGGCGCAGTAAAAAAAAAAATAAAAACTACATATTTTGAACCTTTCTCTTGCTCTTCACTTTATTTTAGAGATGAATATTGCTGTTAATAGGGAGACCGAGACCTCTTGATCCTCTAAGCTACGCCACTAACTCTTTGATTAGCAACATATTAAACTCTACTAGCTAGAAAAAATCCCGTTAAATTCATAGCTTAAATAACGATAAAAGTGATTTTTACAAAATACTCGTATAGAACCTTTTGGATCCAATTCAGTGATTCACTGAAATTTTTATTTTAGACATTTTTTCTTGTATGTAGAATATAATACCTTATTGGGGCGTATTATTTATTTATTAAACACTATCGTACGCTTGAATTAAAGTAATAATAAAATAAGTTGTATTATTTTTATAATTTAAAAGCTATAT